GAACTTGAAGTCATTTCAGTTTTTACTTATACTTAGCTTGTAATAGGTCCTTAAAGAATGAGGGTATTTTTTTTTAATATCTTCCAGTGAAATAAGAGTATAATGCTTAACAATCTTTGTTTCCACAAACACTTCCATGAACATTCCCCTGTAATGTGCTTCAATAGGTTACTCAGGCGGCCATTATAATTCCATTATAATCTTTTGTTGTTGTTGTTGGTCATGGGGCTTGAACTCTGGGCTTGGGCGCTGTCCTTGTGCTCTTCAGCTCAAGGCAAGTGCACTACTGCTTGAGCCACAGCACCACTTCCGGTTTTCTAGTGGTTTATTGGAGTTAAAAGTTTCTCGGACTTCCCTGATGCTGCTGGCTTTGAACCTCGATCCTCAGATCTCAGCCTCCTGAGTAGCTAGAATTACAGGCATGAACCACCGGCACTTGGCCCATTATAATCTTAAATTTGGCGTTATTTATTCTCAATTACTAGCTCAATTGAAAATTGAGTAATTCCACTGACTCTTATTGTCTTCTCTATAAGCATTCTCTGTTTGAACCATGTTCCAACATATATCTAGTTATTTACTTTCACCCCAAAAAGTACTCTATACTTTTTTTTTCCAGTCCTGGGGTCTGAATTTTGGGCCTGGGTACTGTCTGAGCTTTGCTTTTGTACTCAGGGCTAGTGCTATACCATTTGAGCCACAGCTCCACTTCCAGCTTTTTGTGGTTCATTGGAGATAAGAGTGTCACAGGCTTTTCTGCCCCAGCTGTCTTTGAACCTCAATCCTCAGATCTCAGCCTCCTGAGTAATTAGGATGATAGGCATGAGCCACTAGTGCCTGGCTGCCATACTTTTTATTATTGCTACCTCAAGCTTTCAAACCATTCCCTTCCAAAGACAACCTCACCGCTTGTAGCAGAAAATAGAGGAAATAATTGATGCAAACTCTCCATCTCAGCTCTGGTGTGGGATTTCATTCCTACCAGCCATCCCCCTTTCTCTTAGTGAAGAAAGACCTCTGCAGCCCCTCAGGGGCGCCCTCTACTGCTGTGTTCCCTAGCCTCCCCTCTACACATGCCATGACTACCTGTAGTTCTGTGTTCTCTAGTTTCACCTTTGTTGGTTCTTTGTGTAAGTAAAGAAAACAAAACCAAAAAGTCTCCCAGCCATCCTCCCTTTATTATGTCCCTCCTGCCAGCAGTAGTGAGGTTTGAACTCAGGACCCTGAGCCATGATGGAGTCCTGTTTTTCACTTGAACTATCTGATAGGAGGTCATGTGTCTGAGTTGTGGTCTGATCTGAAGAATTTAGGTTTCTTGTCATTGCTGAGATTATAATATGCACCACCATATTCTGCTTCCCTCTGTGGAATCAGTCTTGGATTTTTCCACATAACTGATCTTGAATTGTGATCCTCTTCATCTCAGCCTACCAACTACTGGTTATTTCCCTCTCTGCATGATACATTAAAACAATTACCTCCAAGCTGTGGCTCCTAAATCAGCAGACTTAGCATTATCAAGAAACTTAGAAGAAATGTAAAACTTCAGGTTCCATCCAGAACTGTCTAAGAAGCTCTGGATGTGGTGGCCTAAAGAAATGTGTTTTAACAGCCCACCCTTGTGGAAGTCTCATACGTGCTGTGGTTTGGGAACCCCTGCATTAGACCACATTACTCCCAGCTTACTTCTCTACCATGCTTGACAAAACAGTGGGCATTGCTACTGCTGTTTCTTTAGGGAGATACTTTTTTCTACCAGCAATTCAAACCTTTTTCCTGGTGCTCTTCTTAAGTTTCCAATCACTCATTAGCAATCTCTCTCACTAACACCCTCCCTAGTTATAAAATCATGGCTATATTCATCAGTGTCTCCAAATCTCACCAACTTTGATACAGCGACCCTAGGATGACCCCCCCCCCCACATACCTGCCCTCCCCTATCTGGTCTCTACTTTGACCAATAGGAGTTGACACTTAGCTCTTCACCCAAGCCATCAGCATGTAAGTGATTTTCCCTCTTAAATTCTGCATTCTTTCATGTGACTGCCAGCTAAATGCTATTACTGTTGATTACTACCGCTCTGAGACCTGTCACCTTGGTGCCCTGCCACCAGACCCATTGTCTAAGGCATAGTTTTCCCATTGTTTGCCTGTTCACAGTTGGTTTTCTTTCCAATCCCCAACCCCTCATTTCCAATGTTCTTCTAAGAAGCCACTAGGCACAAGGAAATTACAATCATTCAAAATAAGGGAAATTTACAAACTGACCATTTTTTTAAAAGGATATGATCAACAAAAGTCCACACAGGTTTGTGAGCTTCCTGCAGGGTAAAGGGTGCAGATGAACATCCAAAGCAGGGGGAATTGGCTTTCAAGGCCACCTGCCCTTTCTCTTTCCTCTTTACCACAGCTTTGCTGATTGCAAAACCTCTCTTCCGCCCCTCAAACCTTCTGCTAATCTAGACAAGATGAGTCACTTTCTTTTTCTGCAGCCGTGGCTAGCACTGCTTTCTTGGCCTGCGATCCCTTCTCTAGCCACAAACTCCTCATTAATAAGCATAGAAAACATGACCAACTCTGGCAGGAAGAAGACTGACGTATAATGCTGAAAGTTCCTGCCTTGCAAGTATTGTCTTTAAGAAAATTGGACACTCAAGGTTTTCATGTGACATTTCTGAAGTATTCAAGTGTGTAGCAAATACGGAAAAACCCTAACTACCCCTATGTATATCTTCCATGTAAAATAATGTCTGTGAACTGTTGCTGTAGACACTGATTCTAATCCTACTAGGTGCTAGGGAGAAAAAGGTGGCCAAGACAGAGCCCCTGACCTCATGGCTCACTCTTCCTGAAAGCACAGGCAGGAGGAACAGCAATTATTTAGCTCTCATAATACTCTGTTTACACATTACATGCATGTACAGATCCATGTGCACACATGTAGTGCCAGGATTTGAACTCAAGGCCTCATGCTTGCTCAGATTGTTAGATGGCACTTTACCACTTAGCCACACCTCCAGCCTTGCGTTTTGCTTGTTATTTTGGAGGCTGAAATTTGAGGATTTTTTTTTTTTTTTTGCCTAGGGCAGATCTTCTGGATCTCAGCCTCCTGGGTAGCTACTGGCACCAGTTCCAGAAACACTGTTTTTGTATGTGTACTAGTCCTGTGGCTTGAACTCAGGATGTGAGCAGCTGTCCTTGATCTCGTAGAACTCTACCACTTGAACCACAGCTCTGCTTCCCACTTTTGGGGTGGTTAATTGGAGATAAGTATTACAAGGATTTTTATTGTCCATGCTGACTTCCAACTGTGATCCTTAGATCTCAGCCTCCTGAGTAGTTAGCCATCAGTGTCCAACTCTAGCAGTATTTTTGTGATGAAGTGTTTGCTCCTTTGAATTAGCAGACCTTGGATGGGAAGGGCTGTCTTCTGGCAGCATTAGCGTATTACCTAGCAGGCAGTATGCTCATCTATGTCTTTTAGCTACAGAAAGATGCCCATACCTCATTATGCATGAACTTGATTCCAAGATTGTGATTTATTTTTCCCCCTTAAGTTGATAGCATGCTTTGATTGGACATGGTCAAGTAAGCTATGGTCTTATGAAATAATTTGTCTCCTAAAGGGCACACTTTAAAGATGCAGTCATATTTCAGTTGCATGTACAAATCCTAAATGTATGTATGTATGTATGTAATATATGTACACACGTGTTTTTCCTAGATGATAGCCAAAAATTACATCTTGGTAGGAATACTTTTTGCGAATTTAAGAAGTCAGAAGTCTAGGACAGATAGATTTTTCCATTTTGGAAAATAAGGAAAATGTGTCCACTTGTCCTATTTTGTTAATTATAAGATGAAATCCTTTCCCATTTAACAAAAGCACCAACAAATCCAGCTTTCATTTTTGTTACAGTTCTAGGTTTTTAGTTATGATATCCAAGCATGCTCATAAATCTAACTGTTTCTGCTGGACCTAAGGTTGTCAATTCATTCTGTGGTAAAACAAACACTCATATGCTAGACATAGAGCTCTGCCTGTCATTGTGGGTGTTGGTCCTCAAATGATCTAATTTCCACACAACTATGCTCACAATGTGTGCACAGGTCCTACACAGTTGCCAGCTGCAAAGTTGTAAACACAGTTCCTACTGAAAACAGATAGGTTTTCATAGTTGCTTTGAGAGATAGATATTCATAGCTATGCTGTCAAAAGGAGGGAGAGAGACCAAATAGCTTATGTTTTCCTAATTCATAGGACAATGAGTGAGAATACCAGTCAAATATCAATGATTAAGGTTTTATCTCCTACCATTTCTAAACCTCTATATGTATACACATTCACCTATATGTAAATTCGTAGTTCTTTTTTTTTCTTTTTTCTTCAGTATGGAGTTTGATTGAATTCAGGGCTTTGTGTTTGCTAAGCAGACCCTCTACCAATTCAACAACACCTGCCTCCCTCCCCCACCCCCATTTAGTTTAACAGTTCTGGCTTGAACTCAGGGCCTAGCCACTGTCCCCGAGCTTTTATATGCAAGGCTAGTGCTCTACCACTGGAGTCCAGGTTCACTTCTGGGTTTTGGTGGTTAACTGGAGATAAAGATCTCATGGACTTTCCTGCCAGGCTGCCTTCCAACTCTAGTCCTCAGCTCTATCCTTTTGAGTTGTTAGGATTATCGGCATGAGCCCTTCTTTGATTTAGTAATTTTGAACATAGTATATTGTATTTATGCTCAGGCCCGGCTGGATCATGACCTTCTTTACGCTTCTCATAGAGCTGGGATGGCAAACATAGGCCACTACACTCAACTCTATTACGTGAAGATGGGGGTCCTATGAACTGTTTGCCTATGTTGGCCTTGAACTACAATCCTCCAATATAGATAGAATTTCAAGGACAAATCACTGAGCCTGGCTTAAATATATATATGGACACTGTTAAAGTTCTTCATTTACAAAATGCATGTGACCAGTAATCAAACTATAAGGCTTACCTGCAGACTGTTGAAAATGACAAAGAGAACCAACATCCAGAAGTGTCTGTAGGCCATGTGCAGTCCTCCCCAAAGCCACGTCATAGAAATCAGGGCAAAGAGGTAGAGAATCAGTGGAATTTCTAAAAGTTATAAAGGAAAAAAAAATGTGATTTAGGGCTTCAGAATAGACACACACACACACACACACACACACACACACAATTACTTTTGATTCATTTTTTTTTGGGGGGGGTCCAGTCGTGGGGCCTGAACTCTGAGCTTGGGCGCTGTCCCTCAGCTCTTCAGCTCAAGGCTAGGGCTCTACCACTTGAGCCACAGCGCCACTTCCGGCTCTTTTTTTCTTTTTGCTTATGTGGTGCTGAGGAATTGAACCCAGGGTCCCAGGCATGCAAGGCAAGCGCTCTACCACTGAGTCATCTTCCCAGCCCCACTTTTGATTCTTTTCTTACTTCATGACTAAGTACTCATCTTAAGAGAATAACCATCCTGTTCTTAGTGCCAGAAAAGAGAAGGCACGAGGCTGAGTCTACATTCTGTCCCTTTCCAAATGGGTCTGCAGGTTGACCTATGGACTGGCAATGGTAAGACCTGCTCCTCTCCTTGCCTGCCACCTGCTGGATTATTTAGGAATCATCAGGAGAGAATATGGAGTTGGGAGGAGTGTCTCATCACTCCCCCAGGAAATATAGATAGCAGTACACTCTCCAAATTAGAAAATAAAATTACATAATTTGTGTGTGTATGATATGGAAAAAATGTTGGCCTTTCTTTTTTGACTGAGAATACACCAAAATTTACTGTCAACAGTTCAGGGCTGAGTGAAGTTACTATTTCAGACTTCTTTAGAGCCAAAGTTGTTAGTACTATTTCCACATCTCTTCCACATTTTCTTTGATATTTGCATTTTAAAAATACTTGCATAATAAAAAATTATGGTATTGCAATGACAAGTTATATGCAATTTAGAAGGTGAATAGGAACTTAGCAGCCACAAGTGAAATGCATTTGCAAGCTCCTGGAAGACATCAAGTCAGACATACCCTCAACATAGGGACTTTTATGTCCTATGTCTCCACCACCATCAACACCTCCAATCCTCACATGCCAAGAAGATTTGAAGAGTTTAATATAACTTTACCTCTTTTTTAACATTTGGAGTGTGTGTGTGTGTGTGTGTGTGTGTGTGTGTGTGTGTGTGTGTGTGTGTGTGTGTGTTTCTAGGGTTTGGACTCAGGGCCTAAGTGCTGTGTCTTAGCTTTTTGATTAAGGTTGGTGCTCTATCACTTGAACCACAACTCAACTTCTGGCTAACTGGAGAGAAGAGTCTCATGAACTTTCCTGCCGGAGCTGGTCTCAAACCAGGATCTCAACCTCATAAGCTAGGATTACAGGCAAGAGCCACCAGCACCTAACTAGGGGATTATTATTATTATTATTAGTAGTAGTAGTAGTATGTGCCAGTCCTGGGGCTTGAACTCAGGGCCTGGGCTCTGTCCCAGCTTTAGTGCTCAAAGCTAGCACTTTACCACTTCTGACATTTTTGTGGTTAATTGGAGAAAAGAGTCTCGTGGATTTCCCTGACAAAGCTGGGTTCAAACCATAATTGTCAGATCTCAGCTTCCTGTCTTAGCTAGGATTACAGGAATGAGTCGCAACTGCCTGGCAGGGGAATTATTTTCTAATGGATAATTTGGAAACTGCTAATTTGATCTTTCATTATCTTCTGAGAACTCTGATGTGTGTTTTCTACAGTAAGACTTTAAATGTAGATACAGTATAACCAAAATAAAAAAGCTAACATTGAAATATTTCTACTATTCTCAGGTCCAGGACAATCACAACAATGTTCTCTGTACAGAAAGAGGAAAAAAACCCTTGTCATTAATAAGAATTTTGTGTGGCATTACTTGGAAATATGTAAGTATATTTTTCTCTTTCAAATGTTCATTTGTTTATTTTTATTATGGACTCATAGGTTCCTATTTTTACTCTATGGATTATTATCCTTTACTATTATATTATTCTTTTTTTTTTTTTGCTTGAAGCAGCCCAAGTGGGTTCAAGATGGTCTCTATGTCTTTTGTTATGTCTATAGTATTCTATTAGAACTTATTTGCTTATTAGCCTATGACACTTGAAACATCCTTAACCCCAGTCCTTATTTCTTTGGCAGGTGGAGAAAGAATGGTATTTAGAAATCATAATCTGTGGCTAAGTATGGCAGTTGCTTTTTATGCACTTAAAAACTCTTGGTAGCCAGCAATTAAAAGTATAGTATATATGTACATATAAATACATATGTGTGTATGTATGTATATGAAAAACAGTGTTTTAGATAGATAGATAGATAGTTTGATGCAAAAAAAGGATCAATAATCCCTTAATTTTTTTCCTGAGATTAGAAATAGTTTCAAAGATTAAATAACAACTCTGGTAATTTCATTCTTTACTTATACCATATAGGTACAGATTTCTGTTTGTATTGTGTAGAGCATGATAGAACAGGCCTGTTTTATACAAACAGGACCTAGTTACCAGAATCTGGTCTTCATGCTTTTGTAAATATCTCCAGCAAACCAGGTGCTGTGTGTTCACCTGGAAAAGATGTCGGAAAAGCCAACTGTTGGAAAAGCCAACAGTGCCTTTTGGTACTGATGAGAAATACCCATGGCCCACATTCTAGAACTCTGCAGAAAAGTGTGATAGCTTAGCACTTTAGAAACTCTGCAAGAAAGAAAGCTGGTCATAAATAGCACAGTATATTCTGTATACTGTATACAGAAAAACCAGTATACACTGGTTTTTCAGCAGTATAACAATAATGTGATTTCACAGAAAGAAGAAACAGATCTACCAGCACAACTTGATGTAGTAAGCCTTAAGTTTATAAAACTTTGTTTTTTTTTTTTGTTTTTTATTGGTTGGTGGGACTTGAACTCTGGGCCTGGGCACTGTCCTTCAGCAGTTCAACTCAAGGCTAGCGTTCTACCACTTGAGCCACAGTGAAAACTTTGAAGCTTTTTTTTTTTAAACAAACAAAAAAGTCCCCCAAACCATCATCAGGTTACATGATTGTAGAAGGCATGCATATAAGGTAGAAGCTCTGAAACCTACAAAATTCAACAGTGTTACGGATTGAACATGAAATATCCGTGAGCTCATGGGTTGAAATTGTGGTACTGAGCTGGTAGGACTAATTTGGGGGTTGTGACAACTTTTGGAGGTGGGCCTGCTTTGAGGAAGCAGGTCACTAATGCCATGCTTCTAAAAAGTCAATCTGGTCCCTAGTGCCCATTCACTCACTGCTTCCTGTCCACCATGAGGTGGATAACCTCCTCTTCTATATAACTGTGGTGATAATGTTTTGCCTCACATGGGTGCAGTATCAATGAGGGCAAGGACTATGAAGAGTTCTGAAACTATAAGCCAAAATAAACCTTTTCTCTATTTGCGATAGGTGTTTGTCATAATGATGCAAAGTATCAATAAACCACTAGGTTTACTGTGAATCTCCCTCTCACAAGGTATCTTTTCCAGTCTTTGGAGTGTAGTGGAAGGAGAAGGGTGCTGGGTGAGTGATGGCAGTAAAGCTGCCATCATTAATTGCACGTCATTAACTAGTTACAAGAATTACATTTGGCAAATTGAAAATTAATATTACATCTAATGAAAATCACTTCAGTTGCCTATTTCCCAAGCTGTACTTTTGTGGAGATCTCCTTCACCCTGCCCATTTTCTTTAAGAAGTCATGGTCAGGGGCTAGAGTATCAAGGTCAAGGTTGAATGAAAAAGTACTGACTAATCACAAAATATTCTCACATGTGTGAACACCGAACCATAATCTGAGGAAGAGACAACCCATCAACAAGGTTCACAAAGAGTCCATCAAAAGTATCCCCAAACCAAGATATGAAACCTGCCCTCAACCCTATCTCAGCATGATGTAGTCTCTCATCTAGCTTTTTTCCTTTAATATTATTTATCTTGATCAATTAATCCAAACTATGGCTCCAAAATCCACAAAGTTGTTATTTTTTTTCACATTTGGTGAAGTAATACCTACTCTGTTGTGTGTAAGTAAATTTTTATTGAAGATTTTTTTTTTAATTTGCCAGTCCTGGGGCTTGAACTTAGGGTCTTTGCACTGTCCCTGAGTTTCTTTTGCTCAAGGGTAGCACTCTACCACTTGAGCCTCAGTACCATTTCTGACTTCTTCTGTTTATGTGGTACTGAGGAATCAAACCCAGAGCTTCATGTATGCTAGGCAAGCACTCTACCACTAAGCCACATTCCAAGCCCTGAAGAAGATATTTATCATTGGTAATCTTAGAAACAAATTATATTTAGGGATGGATCAGTTAACATAGAATAACTCCAATGGTCTAGATAAATAGAGGCCATAGAAATGCAGTATTGGCCTCAAGAAATAAGGGTTTCTATAGATAGACTGTACCTCCCAGAAGACATGTAGAACTCCTATTCTCTAAAAACAACACCTCAAACAACCCAACTTTAAAATGGGCAAGGGATTTGCAAAGACATTACTGAAAATAATATGTAAACTTCTCCACAGCATTAGGTCAGGGAAACAAAAATTAAAAAAAAAAACAAATATGACCAGCTACTATGTTATGCACATCAAGATGGTATCATGGATGAATATGGAATGTTCTCCACAGACTCATGTATTGAATGTTAGGTCTTCCAGCTCATAGTGATATTTTCAGTAGTGGTAGATACTTTGGAAGACAGGGCTTAGCTAGAGGAAGTGGACCATTAGAAGTGTACACTTTTATTGTTTTTTTTTTCATTTTTTAAATTTTTTTGTCGGTCGTGGGGCTTGAACTCTGGGCCTGGGTGCTGTCCTCAGCTCTTCAGCTCAAGGCAAGCTCTCTACCACTTGAGCTACAGCGCTACTTCCGGTTTTCTGGTGGTTTATTGGAGATAAGAGTTTCACAGACTTTCCTGCCTGGGCTGGCTTTGAACCGTGATCCTCAGATCTCTGCCTCCTGAGTAGCTAGGATTACAGGCGTGAGCCACCGGCGCCTGGCTTGAAGTATACACTTTTAAAGGTTAAACTTGGTCCATGGTTCCTTCCTCTCTCCATTCCGTATGTAC